GGTAGCAACAAGAGCGCTAAGTAGAGGCCGGCCAACCTCTCTTGTGGCCCGCAGGTGATATACTGCGAGATCCGCGATATCGGGACGTCGCCTCTCCTCCCTCTCCCTCTCCCCTACACCAACGCAACGCTCTCGCATTCCTTCGCACCCTCCCCTCCATTCGTATTCCCCCCGCGATCCGGATTCGTGTCCATTACCTCGGATACCCACGCGTCGCTCTCGTTTCCTCCGGGGGTGGCGAACCTCGACAACTTGTGACCTCCGCCCGAAATCTTAGAAAAGGAAGATCGAGGAAAAAGGGGTTTTTGAAAATTGAAACGAATTTCTAAAAAATTTCGAGGATGAAAAGTGACATCCTTTGGATTGATCTCGTCGCGGTGAACTCTTACAGCGTAATTATTGTTTACGTATAAGGATTAGGGAAATTGATACAGAAAATATTAAAATGTAAATGTTACATTAAATTGCGCGTGAAGTTATTTTTTAAGTTGAATCGTCTTACAGATCGATTGATTCGAAGAATCTGTTGGCAAATTCCCTACATTTTCTAGCAGCATTTTGCCAATACTGAGAGCGGCGGTTCGAAAACAAATTGATCGATGCGAATCGCGGTTTATCTCGGAATAAAAAGATGGAAAAAGAAAGAAAGAATTGGAGCGTGATCGATCGAGGGAAGGAAAGGAAGAGGCGTTCAGGACACCGGGTTATCATCGGGACTTTCCTCGCGGGGGAGGGGGGAGGAGGGTAAGGAGGGCTTTCGTGGCCAGGTTCGCAGTACTTAACGGCGTTAAATCGATAAAAGTGTAGAAGCCGCATTACGAGGGTTTCGTGTGGGCACACTTAGAGGCCGCGCACGTTCGTCGTGAGAGATTGGAGAGTTGCCTTCTCGAAGACCGGGGGAGGAAGATAATGGACGGGAAGAAAGAGGAACGTCTACCCATTATTCCGCGCCGATTCTTCGATTGGCCCCCACCTGATTGCGATTGCAGATGAGATTGCACACCCGTGGCGCAGGGAGCACCACCGATTGCAGTTGCATAATTCTGCCTCCCCTCTCTCTCTCTCTCTCTCTTTTCTTTCCCTTTGTCGTTTCTCTCCTTTCCATCTTCTTTGCTCGATTTCAAGTAATTCTTTTTTCTTCTCAAGATTCAAAGAGAAAATTAAATTTAATCGACATTATTATTTATTACGAGGATTGCCCTTGCTCTTGTTAAAGCCGCCAACTTTTTCTCAAATACGTACCGATAAGCGGGCTAACCTTGAATATCGTAATCTTAAACAGTCACGCCACCAGCGATCCCGGTGGTGAAAACCGAAAATTGGGTCACGTTGATGCGAAACGATTTATCTCGCGGCTCCGATATTAAACGATCGAATCGATACTCAACAATTGGAACGATCGAATAAATCGAGAAATCGTCGAAATTTAAGGAGGGGAGAAGTTCGAGGAGAATCGAATTCGAGAATTATATGTATACAAGAAATATTTTTGATATAGTTCCGTTGTAACGTGGCCAACGTGGTATCTGGGCTGACCTAAAATTTAAAAATGTCATAGCCGCGCCGATATCTTGACTAATTATGAATAAGCAAATGCAAATGGGCCAGGCAATGTTACGATTCGGCGTCACGAACGGATTATAAACTCTTCTTTTGTAAAAGAAATTACAACCTTCCGGCAAATGAGCGCCGCGAGTTTCTCGTAATAACCAGGGCTTATCTTTTTACGACGGATTTTCAGGCTATTGATTGGCAAACCCTTGCCTGCCCACCCCTCCTAGCACGCGGCTCGTTCCTCCTCGCTTTTTCGTCTATCCGGGGACCGTTCGAAATCGATATGGAAATTTTTCCTTCCTCCGTTTAATTCCGTTTAGTTGGCCAGTTTTACGTATCCAATGTTATCCCCCTCCTCCATTTTCTTTCCTTTTTTTCTTTTTTTTTTTTTTTTTTTTTTTT